GAGCTGAGACCGTCCGTACAGTATTCCTTGGCAAGACTGAACAGGTGCTTGGTCAGCCAGAATAACTTGGTTAGTGTTAACAATGGCCAATTCTTCGCGGGTCCCCAGCTTTGTGGAAAGCTGTCATGTCGAACTGCAACATGCCACGAACACCTTGTGAGCCTTCTCATAATCGTTGACGATGGCGGACGAGCCGAGCAATCCGCCCTGCCAGAACCAGTTCAGATGCCTCGGCATTTAGACTGATGGATCGCCGCACCTCTTCTCCAGCGTAGAAATGGAACTCCAGCGGCGAAACCGGAACATAACCCGCAGCAAGCAGACCACGGTACGTCTCAAGGAGGGTCACAGTGCCGGAACCATCATCTCCCGCGCCAGGGGCTCGTCCGTACGGATCCGTGCGGTTGATACTGTCGAGGTGCGCGCCCATGACGGTGATGGGGTCCGAGGGAGCAGAGCTCGAGGCGCAAATCGAACGATCTGGACGCCATTTATTTTCCAGCGCAAGCCTATGCCGCACTCCACTCACAATAGAATGCTGTTTGAACGCATGGTCGACCAGGTTGACATTGATCATCGATGCTTGCTCTTCCGATGCCAGCTCATCCGTGTATGCCAGAATTTTGCTGTAGAGCCATTCCGAGCTCTCCTTACCAGTGTCGGAATTGTAGTACCGCGTGAAGTAGGACGTCAAATGCTCGAGATTCGCCCGCGGCTCATCCGTGGTCAGATGGGGAACACACCGCGGACGATGGACGAGCTGGAGTCGGGGGGCGGGTAGGTGAAGCGGGTTTTTTGTAAAGACTGCCAAGGTGAGGCGCGTCCGTTCTACGTTTTTAAAGTGAGGATACCGCAACCGTTGGGTGAGAACTATTAGGCTCACATGTCAACGAAGTCAATGCCCTGAGCCTTGGCCTCAAACTTTTGCTTGTCCGTCATCCATTGCGGCTTAGAGCCCGGAGACAATTGGACAAGACGCAATTCGTCCGAGAACGCTGGAAACGGGCATGGCATCGTGTCAGCTAGGTGTTCTGTGAGGACACCCTCGTCACATACCGAGCGGGGCTTCCTTCTGCAGGAGCTCGCTGCTCAGACCATTCTCTACAGGAAGTTGCCCGGACAAGCCACCGATTGTCGCGAGCCCCACGATTTGACTCAGAATCGCCCAGACCGATTGCAGCATGTTGAATGAGGGAAAGAAAGTACTCGTGACCCACGTATCAAGTTTGTGCGCTATTTATTTCAAATTCGAACTGTCCAAGGGCCAAGGCTCGGCGCTGCTACGCCGCTGGTCCGCTGGCCCGCTGCGCACGTTATCGGTATCGCGGTAATTGATGCACGCATGGCGGGATGCTCCTGTCTTGCCACCTACGTCGTACCTTGCTTGCAGTCTGGGACAGTGCACGGCTGGAATCGGGCTATATTTCGGACTTTAGCGTATGAGACCGGGTGTCCAGTCAAAGTGTAGTAAGTAGGGCCAGGGTCAAAGCCGGAAAGCCGGACCGGATTAGGTCTTCACGATCGTATGATGCCATACACCCGCAAACTGCACGGAAACCCTGAGTCCCTGAACTTGATCATGGCTACTACAACGGTTCTTCAGCCCACTCCATCAATAATCGCCGAGTCTTCTGGAGCCCAGAAGTACCGCGGGCTGTTGTTGAGGTCTGTCTTTCTGTGCGCGATCATATTCGTTTGCTAGGTTTCTCAGATCGACGGCAGGATCTGCAACTTCCACCTGCTTTCACGGTGCAATCCAGCGAGACGATATCACGGGCCATTGCACAAGCTTACGAACGAGACTTCTCGCATATTCCTGTGCTCGACCGGCTAAGGAAACCCCTCGGCTACATTGAAGTCGCGACTCTGAAGTCCAAGTGGGAAGCGGGGCAGGCTGATGCTGTGGGTCTCATACTACCATCGTGCAATCACCCCATCTCTGATGGTTTCTAATGCTGTTCAGAGTGACACAGTACTCAATTATATGACAAAATTCAAGCGAACCGCTGCTCAACCGTACACCGTGATCACACCCTACACACCATTAAGCGAGCTGGAAGAGTTCTTGGGGCGGAACATCTTCGCCATCGGTGCGTCCATGTCCTCGTGCATGATCTCCGCATGACGCGTCAACGTCTGTTTGGCAGTCACGGATCCTGGTCGCAAGTTTGTTGTGGCCCTGGCCACCTTGCACGACCTAGAGACTTTCGTATCTCGGCGCGGATTCTGACTGACTCTTCGGTTCGTGTATGGCTGCATGTAACGCCTCATATCAATCGAACGTTGCTCGTCAAATGCCTCTTGCCCTTGGCTCTCGATCTCATTGGCGGCCTCTTTCGTTCTTTCCTGCGCCAGGCGCCATGGTCTCTTGCACCCTTTCCTCTGAGTCGCGCAGCAGCAATCGTTTCGTAGAACTGAAGCCAGTCGATGACCACGAGTGAACTCTTACTGGTCGTGATCCGCGAGAAAACGCTATGCACACGAAGAAGCACTTCCAAGAAGCGTTCCGGATCTCAGACCGTGCGTCGATGGGTACTCGAGTTGCTCACCGCCGGAATCCTTCTTTCTCCGACGTAGCAGATCGAGAAGCATATACTGGCGGAAAGTGCAGCCTCCCAAAACATATGCAGATATGTGCACTTGCGTTGCCGTGCACTCACGTCAACTGCGGTCTGGCTGCGTCAGTGACTCTGGACTGGTCTGAGTGGGCCAGATATCGTCGCTTCCTGAAAGAGGCGTCGAACAGCAGACTCTTCTACTCCGACCGTGTGAACGACAAGTGGTACCACTTTCACCCACTTTGATGCTCAATTTCTGAGCCTTCGTATCGGTAGGTTGGGCTCGAGACTCCCCACACATTCCGAGCTGTCCAAGGGAATGCCCCGACACACCATGAGAGACTGTCTGAGGACCCTTGAAAGCGACACGGGTCCGAGAGAAGACATGTTCCATCTCAGGGTTCTTTCGTAAGTTTTTTGAGAAAGATCTCGTACTCAAATGCACAAACGGCTCGCTGCTGCAGACTTCCCATGACCTGGACCAGGCCAGGCCGCATCGAATACGATTGGGGACGGTAAACTACCTGTGCTTTGTACTTATAAGTAAAAAGATGTTCCTACACACAAATCAAGAGGGGGGCGTAAAAATAGATCAAGCAGGAGGAGAAGAGGAAAAGTGTCGTAAAAAGTCGTCGCAGTGTTAAGTTATATACAAACAATTAGATAAAAGGCCGGGGGTTAGAGATGCAGAAGATGCAGGGGTGTAGCGATGTCAGGGATTGGAAAGATGGTGCACTGTGCAGGAGAGCGAGTTGCAGCGCTGACCGGTTCGAAGCCGGCCACCATTTCGGCGGGTGGGATTTACGCCAAAATCATCTCGTCGTCGTCGTCGGTCTGGTTCCCATCCGCCTCCTCCTCCATCATGCGCCGCAGGGCTTTGCGCTCGTCGTCCGGCAGCACGGGTGTATGCGACGACCGCATCACTCGTCGGGGCGTTGGGGTCAGTGACGCGCGCAACTTGGCCGGACGCGGTGTCTTGGTGCTGAGGTCGCCACCGAGCACCAGCGAGTCCGTTGAAGTAGACTTGCGTCCCGCCTTGGCAGCGCGCCGGGGTGCCGCATTCTCTTTGGCCTCATCCTTCTGAGGTGACGGGGGACACATGGGCGCGACGGGTCCAACGAGCACGTACGCGTCCTGGCACACCACAAAGCCGGGGTAGTGAACCGACTGAGGATCGACCGCCGGTGGAACCTCGCGTGGGATCTTGCGCAGTTCACCGGGAATGAAGTCGGCCGCGGATGAGGAAGATGAGGAGGACACGGGGAAAGATGAGTCGATGCCGGGGACCAGCGCGGGTGCTGCAGAAGACAACGTGCGAGCCGCGTCCAACGCGCTCGAGCGACGCGTCGTGCGTGGCGAAGACAGGAAAAGTGACGACGAGGCACCCCCGTGTGGCGATCCCAGACCGAGATCGAGTTTCTTGACCGGACTACCGACGGGAAGAGCGCGGAGCCGCGCGGGGGTCTTCACTGACGAACCAGAGAAGATCCCTTCGTCCACTAGAATGCGGCGTTTAGTCGGGCTGAACAGGCTGGGAATGGCCGGCGAGAGCGCGCGTTTCATGCCGCCTTTCGACGCGGAAGGGAGGTTGGGATCGGGTGGAAGGAATCGCTCGAGAGGCAGGTCCTTCAGGGGACCGGGATGACGAGACTTGCTAGCGGAGGATGAACGGGGCATTTGGGCGCGCGTCTGGGTGAGGATGGTGAGGGAGGAAGGGAAGAACAAAGGTGCGGGAACAATGGAACGGCTCGACGTGACTGTGGACAATTAGTGAGACGCGTTGTCAACACGTGGTGAAAATTTCTGTTTGTTCTGGTGTTCGCGACGTGATGTTGAATGCGTGACCCCGGATACTTGGTGCGGCCCCCGGACACAATGGCTACAGATAAGATAAGATAATGGTACAGAACTAGTTATGGTACTTTTTCAGATAAGTAGCATTCTATGCAGCGACAGCAACAGGCACAACAACATCAAACACACCAGTTCCAGACAGACTCGGTCTGCCCAGGACGATGTTTCCACTCGGTGTCGAGAGATCGTCGAAGTCACCGTAGAGAGTGGCATCACTCAAGAACGCGGCGGTTGTCTCGTACGACGCTTTGAGAAGGGGCGACGGATTGGTTGAGATACCCTGTCGATTGAAGGGTTTATAGCCACCGTCAAAGGTCATATAATCCGCAATGAGCTGCAGGTGGCGGTTGTCGACCTGAATGTTATACACGCCGAAGACAGACGACATCTCGTGCAGGATGGCCGCACGGGCCATTTCTACCCCGTAAGTCTTCAGAATGGCGTAGATGTCGTTCGAATACATGTCGTTTTCCTCGATAATGCTTTGGTCGGCTCCGGAATTGAACAACCACAACCCTTGGAAGTTGGAGCCGTTGGTCGTGAGCTGTGAAGGTCATGCATCAGCAGCTACGGGACATAGAGAATTTGTACCTTGATTTTAGTGGGGCCTTTGCCCTTGCCATCCTCCTTGACCTGGAAACAGTCGCTGATGCCTGGAATCTGCCGGATGACGGTCGCTCTGCACGTTCGTTCTAGAATCCCGACTAGAAGCAGCTTGGGCATGTCCGGGTTGAACTGTTATCGTATTAGCAATCACACCCGGCTCAAACAGGACTGGGGCTGACTTCGAGCTGGAATGTGACCTTCGCCTCGCTGAAGTCAAACGAAGTCGCGTGTGTCATATTCCGGAGGAACACGTCACCAACAACTGCGACTTTTTTCGTCAGCGGGGTGTGTTTCTTGGTCTTGGGTACAGGCGGCATCGATGTATCGGAAGCATACGCAGCTTCAATGTCGTCGTCGTTCATGGCACCCTGCTCTTCATCGTCTTCGTCTTCATCTTCCTCGTATGTGGCTAACTGCTTCTTCTGTCTCGCGCGTTTCTCGTCGTCAGCGTCGCCATCCCCGTCCTCGTCGTCATCCTCGTCGTCATCGGCCGGCCTCTTTTTGCGCGGCGCGACTTCTTCGCCGTCTTCATCGCCGTCCTCATCGCCACCACCTTCCTTATCCTTGCTCTTCTTTCCCTGACCGAGTTCTCTGATCTGCGCCTTCAGATCCGCGTCGAGCTTCTTCATCTCGTTCTGCATCTCCTTCTTCAGGGTGAGTGGAAATTTGGTCGTGAAACAGCCCAGAATGTCCGTCGGGTCGATGTCGTATTCTTCCTGATATTCGGACTTGGGGAAGAGCGTGAGATCAACCGTGAACTGGGTCCTCCGCGCCTCGCCCTGCACTGTCAATCGCTCGCGTACAGTCACGTTCTCGACGACCTGGGACAGCGTGACACGGCTTGCCCGTTTGCAGAACACGTCAATCTCTTCTTGTGTGGCAGACGAGCTGACAGTCATCGACATGGAGGGGGTCTTGGGCTTTTGCGACGCTGTCATGACAATTTCACGTAACCGGGGAATTCCGAGTGTGACATTGGCAGCTCCGTGCCCAGCAAAGTGGAAGGTGTTCAGCGTCATCTGTGTTGAGGGCTCACCAACACTAAAGCAGAGCTTAGAGGGGATGTAGAACTTTTGCGAAAAATACTCACCCTTGAGAAGCCAGCAGCCCGACCGCCTCGCCCGGTTCGACCAGACTACGCATGTATTTGATGTTCATGAGCGTCTTGAAGTTTTTGGGATTAACCAGCGAGCGGCTGCTCTGGTACGGCAGCTCCTTGCCCTTTTCAGACAGCAGCTCATCCGGATTCTTCTTCACGTAATCGTCAACTGCAGCGGCAAACGACTCGCTTGTGCTACCCAGGAAGCGACTGGGATTGAATTGCGACAGAACCGGATCGTATGTTCCTTTCTTCTTGAGCACCTTTTTCATGAGTTTGGACGCCTTTTCCGAGTCGACGGCACCGTCGTCCATCAGTCGCTTGGGGTTCAGGATGTTGACAAAAGACAGCTCATTCTGCGCGATGAACTGGAACTCTCGGAGATGTTTCTGCTTGGTGACGTCCAGCGCATCGCCGCCATACTGGAACTGATAGATCGACGAGTCGCTTCCCCGGACCGTGTTGTCGTAGTGGATGCGGATACCCTCCAGATGCTTAATCAGACAGCGTTGGAGATAGCCTGAACGCGATGTCTTGACGGCGGTGTCGATCAGCCCCTCTCGACCAGCCATGCAGTGGAAGTAGAACTCCTGCGGTTTGATTCCCGTCAAGAAACGACTGGCAACATAGCCACCAGCGATGGCCTTCGTCTCAAACGGTCGGAACGACGGCAGCGTCTTGCCGCTGATCATGACCGGGACACGCCGGCCCTCAAGCTCCTGCTGACCCAACGCACATGAGATCTGGCGGGCGTTGACAGCACTGCCCTTGGCTCCAGAAAGCGTCATCGTCTGCATGTTGTTGTGCGGGAACTTGCGCTGCAGACCGGTGGGCATACACGCGTCGCTGATGGCCGTAGTAAGTTTGCCCATCTTCGTCTTGACCGTCATATCGAGGCCGGCCATTTTGTTGTCATCCCGCAGCACGTCCTGCAGCAGAGAAGTGAGAGCGGGCTTGATCTCGTGTTTGGGGGTGTCTTTGAGGGATGGGAAATTCTCGATTGCCGCCTCCGTTCCCCAGTTGCTGCTCTTCTTGATCAAATCCGTCCTCCAGCGATTGCCCTCCGGGGTGAGAGTGAGATCGTCCATACGACATGTGAATGCGCGATGTTGGAGGAATTTGGTGAACAGTCGACTGAGAATTCCTAATAGCTTGCCCGCCACTTCCGACCCATACAACTCGTACACCGAATGCACCATGCCGTAGTCCGATGCTCCAAAGGCTGCTTTGTCGAGAACACCACATAGCAGTTCGCCGTCCATGAAGATGACCTTATCCTCTTTCGAATCGTTACCCCAGAGATGTCCCGGCACTTTGGTCTTCGCATTCAGATTCAATCCGTCCATCCTCTCTGGTGTGATGTTCCTCAGCACAGTGGAAATCTACACACATCAGCTTCGAGTCAGAACGGCCATCGCAAGTCCCTCACGATCTGCTTGCCAGTCCAAAGAGGGCGGGGCTTCCATATTGTCGGCGGAAGTGTCACCAGCCTCGGAGGTTCTCCGCCCTCGTATACGTCATCTTCAGGCCTCAAAGCGCCATACAGAAGCTGAAAGTACTCTGCCCGAGTGAAGAACGCGTCTTGGGTGGTCATCCATACACCAGCCACTACGTGATCCTGGATAAGACCGCGAAGCGGGTTTCCGGACGTAGGGACCAGGTATTGGTTGTCGGTGTTGGCGATAAACATCGACTCGGCGCGAGAGATTTGGTTTTCTGTGCATCGATTCAGCAAGACGCACTCGAACGATACTGGTCCACTGACGAGGGAAGTGGATGTTCATTTCTGAGGAAGGACTCAGTATGATATGAGCATATAACAGAATGCTGACTTACCGTCACCATCGAAATCAGCTGCAGCAGTTCATGAGCTACGGTTCCGGGTTGCGAAGAGGACTCACCATTGTAGGAGTTACTAAGTAGCCATTAGCATCGGATGAGGTAAAATTGAGCATCGCTCACCAGTTCGCGTAGTGCATTCGGATTGTCTTTTCGCCTCGCAGCACCCGTGCCTTATGAGCCATCATACTGGGCTTGTGGAGTGTCGGTTGTCGGTTGAGGATAAGCATGTCTCCGTCTCGCAGATGGCGATACACTTTCTTGTTGATAGCGGGTGTGCGAGTATACAATCCCCGGCGGGCCGTTCCCCCGTGCTCGTTCTCTTGGGGCGTGAGCAACTGATTGGCTATGGCTGTGCGTTGTTCCACAGTCAATTTGTCCTGCAGGCAGCTTGAGATGACCGCTCCGATGAGAACATGGCTCAACGCACCAAAAGCACTTGATGCCCATCCTCGTATTCCACCAAGGTTGCTCCAGGATAACCCTTTGGTCCGGTGATCACCCGCTGCCTCATCTCATGGAAATTGGCCGGTGTTACGGGCTCCGGAAACGTAAGCTTTTGAGCAAACACAGGTGGAACGCCGATCTCGTTTGGTTCAATGTTCACATCTGGAGAGATGACTGAACGAGCAGCATAGTTGACACGTTTGCCCTGTGGGTTGTTAGAATATGTAAGAGCATGCAGGCTGATCTCACGCACCATCATATGCATTCGGAACAATCCCTCCTTCTTCTCCAATCCTTGCTTAACACCAGCGGGTGGCAGCTTGCCCTGCCTCATGGGAGTCGGATTCTTGCTACTGTCCATGAAACTGTTCACATCGACTTGGAGTTGCACCAGGTTTTCCAGCAGACTAGACATTATCCTCTTGCGCAGGGTCTCATCGAATTCGGGTGTCTTCACCGATGCTTGTCGCAGCTGCAGATTCTGATCCCGCAGACGGTAGCATGTCCGGAGAATCTTCTCTAGCAGCTCGTTCTGCGGATGCTCGAACAGCTTGTCACCCATGTGCGCTGCGGGTCGGAAGCGAGTGGGCGCGACGGGGACCGCGTCCAGAAAGAACATATCGGCTGACGCGAGCGAGAGACCTTCGGCGGAGACTGCGGCAAAGGGACCGTGCCTGCCGTAGAGCAGCGAGCACATCTCGGGTTCGTTTTCGAAGAGCCGGCGCAGATGTGCACGGCATTCCTCCGGTGTAACGACCCTTTCATTCCGTCCGCGCGATGTCTTCACGCGACCGTTGGCTGCGCGGGGAAGAGCGTCCACAGCAGAGGTTTGCTTTTGTGGGCTTTCCATCAAGTCTTCTCCGTCATCCTCTTCGTCCTCTTCGTCCTCACTCAGATCCTCGGCATCCGACATATTGGCATCCCCGTCTCCTGCAGCCCTGGTTTCAGAAAGATGCTTCGCCAGTTTCTTTTCTTGTTCCCGAAGCAACACATCCGGGCGTTTGCGCACACACTGAGCCTTTTGCTTCTTCGACAGATCGTATTCGACAATCTTCGTATGTCCTTCCTTGCGGAATGTGTATGCAGGACTGCCAGATTGAGCGAAGGCTAAAGAAGTCAACAAGAACGCTCACCATCCACAATCTACGTTCCGACATTTTGATAGTGAAGAGGCTTTCAAAAACTCCGCAATCAGCTCCTTCCGAGCTCGGTACACCAATCCATCCTTGTAGTTGTCCCGCTTGGAGTCGCTAGCACGTTTCAGGTGCAGCATAACATACATGTTAAGTCGTTTGATGAAGGCTGCAGGCGACTCGCCGGGAACGGTAACTATGCGTCCACCCGCTTCATCATCGGAGCTGTCCTCATCCGATTTCTTCGACTTCCCCTTCTTGGCCTTGGTCTTCTTCTCCTTGGGAGCAGCAGCTCGGGTGGAAACTCGCAGGTGAATATCATCCACACCCTGCGCGGCATCCAACAAGCCGTGCTCCAGAAGTCTGAATTTGGCAACGTATTTGGCGAGCTAAGATTTGAGAAAAAGGTGTTGGAATTGTCTCGGATGTCATATAGCGCGGAGACTTACGATGGTCCTTCCCATCTTGAACTGGTGGCAGAACAGACAGGTATCCCGAAACAAATTGAACATATTCCCCATGAAGAGAGGATGAAAAACGGGTGCGGGGAGGTCGATGTGTCCGAAGTGGCCAGGGCAGGTGAAGAACGTCAATCGGCAGGTCGAGCAACTGGTACCAGCCATCAAACGCACGAACGGGAAACCGTTCAGATTGTACTCACATATCCTGCTTCTCCGTTGGCCCCAGCGCCGGATCGTAAAGCCCTCCCACACTCGGCCGGTTCATATCATCGAGTAGATTGACATTCACGATCTGCTTGACCGAAATCCGGCGCACGTCTTCGCTCGTGAGGAAGGAAAAAGAAATGCCCTTCACAGTCGAAGACAGACTGTGCGCGATGTTCATGGTGAATAAAGGAGCGTATCAAGGACGCGGAGTGTGTCGGACGGTGGGTGCAGAGGGCTCGAGGCCGCACGGGCGCGGTTGTAGCAGACCCGACGAAGTGATCGCAAGGAAACTTTTTTGGCGAGACGTGCGGTGGCGGTGCTTGATTTCATCGACCGGGTCCGAGTTCAACTTGACTGGAATTTCCGAGGATGTTCAATCTCAAGTCCCACCCATTCAAACCGTTGCAGGTGGAATAATATTGTGCGACAAGAGCATAAATGTGGATCAGAAGCACAGATGTGAATCCAGCGTCGACTTCAAAGTTGGATGACCGCCCTTTCGTCATACTCAAATTACTGAGTAAATATCTTAAGTAGTACTTGAGGACACAGCTAAGTCGAACCTGGAGCTAACTTCATGGATATTTGGCGTATATATGTGCAAGAAGAAACCGTTTCGGTGCTCCAGTTGCCGACAATAGTTGTCAAGGTCCAGTGGACGCCTACCAGTTCAGTCTACATTACTGCACAGGCGTTCAGGACCTCTCTGATCAATCTTTTCTGAAAATAGTGGGCCCAAGTCTACTATGAAGGAAGAAATTCCATGTCCAGATCTCGGTTCAGGCGTAGTATCAGAGGCGCAGCTCTCTGGCTCCCTCATTAAGCGCAGAGTTCACATGGATCTGACCAAACTAAATGCAACGACCTACAGACAAGACAGACTGCATATAACTGCATATATATGAGACGATGATGCCTATTAGTGAGATAAGCCTCAGTCAAGGCGAGGCCATAATCAAAATCTGAATTGGCGAATAGAGTTGAACTCAGTCTGTCAGATGTATCGATCACATCGCTTTCCCCGCTTATACAACATTTCAGGGAAAAACGTAGTCCAGATCTTGCAGTGCTCGTGGACTTTTTGACAACGACCAGTCCTGGAAGAGAGCAGTAAGAGGAAAAATCTGCATGAGCATTGAGAACCTAGATCATCAGCAGAGTCGCAAATTTTCATGCAAATTTGGCGCTAGAGGATTGTAAGGGGATATTGGGTGAAATTCTCCTGAAGCAATTTTCCAGACAGGTAAACAGAAACGGATTTCCCCAGTGAATCGTTCACTTTCATAATGACCAGATGTGAACTATTTTTGGGGACTGGTTTGGCTGGAAGATAATCACGACTTTTATATTTATGAAAGGCCATTTATTCTGATGATCGTCAAGACCTTCAATTTGTCGCAGCAGAGCTCAGTCCATCCACGCAGTCGCGCTATGGATGATTGATGATGAGTCACAAGCGCGTCCTGTCACATCACTGTCACACTTTCGTCCTTTCTATCAACGCTGCAGACCACATCATGATCAGATTTGGTTCTTGTCTGCGAACTCTGTTGGCGGTCTTGAGGGTACACACGGACGAAGAGACAGCAAAGCTTCATTGAGGGATGGATGTCGACGCGTGGGCCGAGCTACGGGCCACACGCTGGCTCTGAGGGATACGACCTGAAACCCGTCCAGTCTATCGTGAGCCGTTGAGCCAGAGTCAGCCTCACGACATCCTCAGGACTATTTCCACTACTTGCCCATGGATTTCCGTCTCTATTCTTAGTAAGAGCGTCAAACTCCCATCGTGAGCGAGGAACCGGAGCCATTGGACTGGGTGGCGCAATGCGTCTGAGCCGAAGTCTTGCAGGAACTCGAGGGCTACTTCTTCGAAGACCCGGAATTTGTCCAACATCTCGAGTCGATGGTCGATGAATCCTATCCCGACCTCCGCCACGCTGCACAGATTTGGCTGAATACCTACGTGGGCTACGATCGGGACCACTGTAGCTGGACGGGGATTCCCACCGAGGCGGAGCAGGAGAGAGATCTGTACGCTCCGGTGGTCGAGCTTCTGGTCCGATTCTTGGCGCATTTCCGGGAAACGATACCAGTCTCGACCTGAAACCCGGACAGGCGCTCGATGCGGCACGTACATCCCATTTTCGAGAGCCGATGCAATAACTTGCCGATTTCGGCTCCCGGTAGTTGGAGGAACATCCAAATCAAGTCTGCGCCCGATCTCGCCGTTCTTGCTGTCGGTCGATCGGTCACCCGGGAGTCGGCATATCTACCGAAAGTAGAGTAGCGACAAATGGGGGCCCCAATGAAAGTCGAGCTGAAGGAAGCCTTTGAGCTTGAAGCACGACGCCAGATCGGGATCTATGCTCGCAAGGTCTTCATCGCGCAGCAACACCGGTGTTTTGTGTATCTCCCAGTATTGACTGGGGCGGATGGTGTGATTCGACTGCTGTGGAGCACCATTCAACTATCGCAAGGATCCGCTACGCTTCATGAAGATGGTCTTCACCCCACAATGGGCGACGACACGCGATTTATCTGGGAGAACAACAAGCGCCTGCTGCGGGTCCCCGGCGCCCACGTTCGAGACGGCGACGCCAGCACCTGGTAGGAAACAACGCAGGAGCTCTCGTTCGAGGTCGTTCATGATACAGGTGTCGCTCGTGCTGATGTGCGACCGGTCTTCGTCCGGAAAACGATTCGATCTTGGGGAACGACGTGCTGAAGAGTAAGATCCGTTGCCACACACGAGATCTTCATGGTCAAGATCGCTTGGGCGCAGAATCGGGACCAACGAAACCATCAACAACACCAGGGAAATGAACGTAGGATTTCCAGACGACGGCCAGGGCACTCTCTTTCACAGCTTCGATGAAGCAAGCTGCAAGGCTGCCATCTCAGAGCTCAGAGCTCTACCATCTGCGGCACTCGAACCTCCTCTGCCTTCGCGAGCCAGTCCGGCCCCTTCTACAGGCTCAATGAAACATTCCCATGCCAGCAGTTCCGATGCATTTGGGAACAAGAAGCGGAGTTTGACAGGTGGTCAAAGTATCTCGATCCAAGAAGGACACGACGACGACGTGCACTTGGACCTGGGTTAACCTCTGAGTCCGACCATTGCAAGGATTTGAGTTTCGGTCCTGATCCCAAACCTATGACCAGGGTGGGCAAGCTTTGTCAAGGGAAGCAGGGGTGGAGTGCTACATTCAGGTTGTCAACAATTCACTTGGTGTTCATCCTCCAGGCCCTTCAAGATTTGTTGTCAACTGCGATGCCGTGTATGCGCACAGATGCAACTCTTCAGGCATTTCGTCGCGAATCAGCATTCGGTTCTGAGTGCTGCCAACCCAATATCGCTTTGGATACATACCAGTTCAACTATAGGATCAGGCGTTTCGCGTTTTTTCCAGCCAGCATTCAACAATCGTTCGCGTATGGATGACCTGACAAGTGAGACACCCGCACAGTAGATTACAAAATTGGCATTTGCTAAGGCATCCAAAACACAATTCGACGAAAAGTAATGCACAAATCAGATAAGCTCTGCAGCGTTCACTGGCATTTCATCCTGTCAAAGTGTTTCAGCAAGTTTCAACCTTCACGACACAATAGAGGACAAACAATCTGAGTGCTGTAGAATTGTTCTGAAAGCAGATATGAGATAGCGATGTCATGGTTGCGCAGGTACTCACCGATATCACGCAGGATACGAACGTCGTCAACAGTCACAAACTGGAGCCCAATGAACCAACAGATCAAGTCCAGAAAGAGCGATACGCACGTTGATGGCAACACCCTTGCGACCGAAACGACCAGACCGGCCGATACGGTGAATGTAGTTTTCACGGTTCGCAGGGAGATCATAGTTGATGACCAGCGAAACCTGCTGCACATCGATGCCACGCGCCCAAACGTCCGTTGTGATCAACACACGCGATGTTCCTCCGCGGAACTCTGCCATGATAGCATCACGCTCCTTCTGCGCCATCTCACCGTGCATTGAAGACACCGTGAAATTTGAATTGCGCATCTTTTCCGTCAACCAGTCGACCTTGCGTCGAGTGTTGCAGAAGATAACCGCTTGCGTGATTGTCAGAGTGTCGTACAAGTCGCACAGCGTGTCGAATTTCCAGTCTTCCTTCTCCACGGCGACGAAGAACTGCTTGATGCCCTCCAGCGTCAGTTCGTCACGCTTGACGAGAATGCGGATGGGGTCGGTCATGAATTTTGTTGTCATCTCCAGCACGTCGTATGGAAGGGTAGCGCTGAGCAGAACGACCTGGGTGGCGGGAGGGAGGTAGCGGTAAACGTCATAGATCTGGTCTTTGAACCCCTTGTTCAACAACTCGTCCGCCTCGTCAAGCACCAACATCTTGATATTGCGTGTACGCAAGCTCCGCCGCCGGATCATGTCGAACACACGGCCAGGGGTACCAGAGACGACGTGCTGCCCGTACTCCAGCTTACGGATGTCCTCCCCAATCGAGGTTCCGCCGATACACGCGTGACACTGCACGTTCATGTAGTCGCCCAGCGCGAGTACGACAGACTGTATTTGCGTGGCGAGTTCACGTGTAGGGGACAAAACGAGGGCCTGTGTCTCTCGCACGTTGATGTCGATGGACTGCAAGATGGAGATGGAAAATGTGGCAGTTTTACCAGTACCCGACTGTGCCTGTGCAATGACATCCCGCCCTTGTGTTATAGGCAGGATGGCACGCTGTTGGATCGCAGAGGGCTTTTCGAAGTCTTGTCGTCGAGATAGTGAGGCGCGTATCCAACGCGATAGAGCAGAAAAGACGCACTGTACGCGTAGATGCCTCGAACAAGATCCTCCTTCAACCCCAAGTCGTCGAAAGTGGACACCACGGACACGGCCTCAGAGGACTCGAAGACGAGTTTCTGTCAAAATGTAAGAGATGTGGGGATGTTTGAGGGGGAGCTGACTTGCGTCGTCGCCGGCGTTTATACCAGACATGATAGTTGAGTTGAGGGTCTGGCTATGGCGGAGTTTGAATCACGTCTTTTTCGTAACTGTCTGGACGCGCATAAGCGTCTGTCTCTCACCGCCATGACTCAATCCTTCATTTTCAATTCCTCTGTTGAAGCCAAACGCTTCTCTACCAGGAAAACCCATATCCGCCGTCTCTACGATGTGATGGAAATCTGCCTTCAGCGCGGCGACTTCGCGCGAGCTGCTCGCGCTTGGGCTATCTTAGCTCGGTGCGAGGAAATCAAGTGGAAGAAAATGTGGGTGACGGGCTTGCAACTCCTCGGCCCTGAGCCCAACAAAACGACCAAGAAAATCGAGTTTTTACGCGTGATGATGTTACAACAGCCCGAGGAAGTGAGGGTCGAGTCAACGGCGCCCGGTTGGGTCTGACAATGAGTCTCTGTGCCAGCGCGAAAGCATTCTCCAAGAGCTAGTGCTCCATTTGATCGCCTCCGGTGAGCACAGAGAGGCTTTGGACGAACTTGAGCTGTATGACGCCTCTATTTCTCATTCCGACCAATGCATTGAGAGGCACGTAGGTACCTACCCTCCTTTCCTTACCAGGATAATCCGGCTCTTCACGTGTACGCTGGACTGCTCTGCTTGTTCTTGGCTCAACCTGGCGGTAAAGATCCTGGATGGCATCTAGTCTAACACGACCCACTTCCTACAGAGCTTTCAACTTCCCTCGGTCCCAGTCTACTACGAGATGCCCAATCGCATCTAGAGCGTGCATTGGCTTTGGATACGGGAAATGTCGTAGCACAAGGTTTTCTATTCAAGGTCCCCTCTCCCACGACGACATTCACACGAAGTAGCTAACCAAAGAGCAGATTCGATCGCTGAGTGGCAATAATGCAAATGCCGATGCCGAGTCGGACGAAGAAGACCTGCCGATCCACACTCGGAATGCGAAACGGCCCAGAACATGAATGCGAGCGCAGGTTACTCGGAATCCTCCGAGTCCGAGTCCATGTTGAGCACCGGCATTTCCTCATTTTCGTCGTCGTCGACCTCCATCCGCATTTGGGTGACTGTAGTAGCCAACGAAGCTGAGACTGGTTTTGCTGGGGTTGTTGGTGCTGGTGTCATTGCAACAGTTTGGGGAGCGAGCTGGGTGGCCATCTGTGGCGGGGGTAGTAGCGGCGCAGCAAATACAGGCGCTGTGATCACCGGCGTTGGAGCTTGAGCTGGCCTGGACATGGACAGATCATCGGTGCTGGCAGATATTGGTGCGACTTTCTCGACTGGTTCGAGTGGTTCCGCAGAGGCCAGTCCCAGGGACTGTCGCAGCTCAGCCTCCGCCTGGCTTTCTTCTGCGTGAGAGAGCGACAATGACTCAATCCAGGGCAAGGAACGAAGCAGCGGAGGAAGACGAGGGTGCAAAAGAATTTCGAGATCAGGATCTCGCTGCATTTTTGCTATGAGCGGAATCTGATCACAGACAAGCGCCTGAAACTCACATGTACCGCTGATAGATTGGAATTGATGACTAGTCCAAGGCTCTTACTCATTCCTCCCGTCGATCCGGTAGACAACTCCAGACTCATGTCCTGTACCACGGCTGTGACCTCGCCATGAAGAAGGTGATCGGCGGAAACTGCTGCTGCTGATATTTGCGGCAATTTCAGCATGATTGAGAGGACGACGCGGGAAGATATCGAATGGAGGGCTGGCGAGAGGGTGTGATTGCGCAGAATGATCCGGAGCACTGTTATCGTAAAGGCCAGGTCAAGGAAATGTCTGCGATCAAGTTGTAATTTCTCTCACCTGCGAGGGATGCCAATACAACTTTCCCGTCCACTGCGGTTGGGCAGATCACATCTCGAGACAAGTTGAAGAGTTCGTCGCCTTCAAACTCTCTAGCCCTTTTTTTGCCTTTTTTACTACGGCCACTTGTTTGAGTATCTCCATTAGAGACATCTTGCTTTGAGACAAGAACGGATACAAAAGGCAGGAGAGTTTTAGCCAAACCATTCACAAGCAAGGGTGAATCGAGTGGCAGACACTTGGATAGCATCGCTTCCAACGCCACAAGAAAAGACAGTCGCTCCGAGCTGTGGTGAGTATAAGCTTATAGAATGCGCTCGGGCTGGCCACTCGCTTACGCAGTGGTGGACTGCTCGAGTTGAGACACCAGACAGCCAACGACGGTCGTCGCATTGGGAGTCAGACGACGGCCTAGACTGCATCGGGAAATGGCTGTCAGCCCGCAGGAAAGTTGAGAAGCAGGAGTGTACCATTCTGCGAGTCGGATGATTAAATCAGAGCCAATTTTCCAGATGTGCGGGGTAACAGAGGCTTCCATATCACGTCTTGAGTAATCGATATGATGCTCTACCTGGCACTGGCTGAGGATGGACACTCCCCGAAGACTGATGATCGCACCTTTTCGTCCTTGAGACATCCCACAAGTGCCAACGCGAATTTGAGGAGAGCACCCAAAGGGATTTGCACAGCACGGGCCGTGTTGGTTTTCAGTAAATCGCTAATGGCTACCACGCTGCATTTTAGTCGATCTAGATTGAGAGGAACAGCGATCCGTGGGTCCTCAGAAGACGCTGAGGGCAAACGACCTGCCAAAATGAGTTGTTGCAGATATCATTCGGGGCAGAAGGCGCGTACCATCAACAGAGAATGTAGTTCGTATAGCGTAGAACGAGTTCCACCCTTGCGACAAGCTATCCTCCATAGCTTTCCTCCATAGATTGACGGCTCCGACTTTTCCACCAGTCAGAGGCAGAGTAGCATATAAGCAGGAAGCGGAATGAACCAGTCTAGAATCGGTGGTATCGAATGGGCTACCGTTCAGAACACCGAGACAGATCGTAGACAATCCGCCCGACCAAGTCCGGTGCAGAGTCGGATAGACTATGACCAGCGCAGTAAGAGTGGACAGAATCAAGCACTTTAGAATGTGAGCGCTGCGAATCAAAGCCAAGAAGCTCTGCGTACTCTCAACTCGACATCTGACTGCTTGTCCACAAGTGCCATGCACGCAGTAGTAAACTTTGCAACATTCGGTGTTGCGACTTGTCTCTGGAACTCAGGCATGTCCGCAGCCTCCGTAAACAGAATCCGCAGGAGTCGTATCGATGCAGCTAGTACTGGAACGGGTTCTTGTTTCTTGGGATGTCACGCTTGAGCTGCATACCCCTTGAACACCAGAGGCGGAAAACTAACAGACAACAACGGCAGAACGCTCCCGATCCAGCTCTGCGCGCATTCCAATAGAATGGGTTTCGCGAGAATAGCACTCTTCTGCGCCAGGCAAAGTCCCGCCCACCGCGCGTCGGCAGTCTTCGCGTGCAAAAGTGAGTTGATTCGTGCCGTCCATTTGGTCAAGTGCGGGGAGGGTGCAAAGTTCTCCGCCGTCAGAGAGTCGAGAATGTACGGCAGATGAAGAACTGCGTAGGAGTCCGATCCGAGTTGGAGTTGCAAGAGGGCCTTCAGAGGATGTCGCGCGTCCATTAGCGGTAACAAAAATTTGGGAACGGGCCCGAGAAACCCTGAGCTCGTGGCGGTGCATCGATCACTCGATCTTGACACTTCTCAATTGGTACACCCGACGTGCTGCTCATGTCGAGGCCCCCTGCTTTAGACTCCAGTGTCGAGGAGCACCTCCAATTATCAGCATTCAAGGTATTGAAATCAATGCATTCGTGGCATACCAGTAATCGAGCAATAAATCAGGCCAAATTCGATGTCACGGACTTCGTGGGGAATGTTTCCGAGAAACTAATCGCGCAGTCTAAGAGTAGCGCCGGCCGTGAGTAGTTTTGCTCCCATACGAAACACATATATTCATCTAGTCCATATCAGCATTTGACCCTACCCCCTTCATCAGCACCTTCGAAGCAGCTGTCGACAAGCTCATCGCTGTGCGTAAAGATGTGCAGGCCAAGACCGAGCAGATGGAGAAGAGTGTGCGCGTTTCGGAGAGAGAGTACTCGAAGAAGATGGCTGATCTTAACCGGGGCTTCGAGGTGCGTCGTGCTTTCTATCGGTGACCTTGACGGAGGCTGACCGTGCGCGACTCAACAGACTGTTGGCAACTCGTTCTCTGGCATGGAAAGCCGCATGAACGAAGTAAGCAGTACAGCTGTCCGGATCGGTGTGTTATATTCCTTCTCGTCCTTCATCTGAGTTCCTTGACAACCCTGTGCAGGGGAGCAACTAGAGTCGGTGCACATCGAGCGACAACGCGCCCAGGCAGCATACGATTTGATCGACTTCTATGTTCAATTCTCGCGGGGGGACACGACTAAACTGGATGCACTGCGAAAGGAGGGCAGGGCAGGCAGGAGACAAGTTGCTGTGCTTCTGAGGAGACTGAATACGGTCGCCAAAGAAGTTGATCTCCCCTCTGCGGACAAGGTACGCGTCGGGATCCCTTATTTCATTGTCTGAACAGAACATTAGACCCGCGAGAACATTGAGAAGTATTGCGAGAAGTTTGAGAAGGAGATGCTGAACCTGTTCGACCGATGCTATAGACGAGGTGATCCCAAGATGATGCATGCAAGTCACGCCTTCATCTCATGATGCATACGAGTGCTCAAGCCAGACAACTCAGCACTGCGCCCAAACTCTGCTCGAATTCAACGGCGGCAATTCTTGTGTGCAGGTGTATGTCAACCAGCATGATTTTTTCATCAACAATGTGCGAGAAACCAAGCCTGCGGAGGACACATTACTGTGGGTTAGTTTTCCTACTTTTCTATCCTCCTTTTTGATTATTTTGTCAAGATGGAATGCACTGCCAGATCCAGACACTAGTCCACCGAAATCAGAAGTAGGACTGGAGGAATTGTTCGCGGAGATCCGAAACACTGTCGACACTGAGGCTCAGATCGTGAAAGCCGTTTTCCCAAATCCTCCAGTTGTGATGCAAGTTTTCTTGCAACGTGTGTTTGCACAATCGGTCTGTCTGTTTCCATCTCATCTAATCCTATTTTATCTTATCTTATCGGGCTAGATCCAACAACACATGGAGCAACTGTTGCACAGAGCAAGCACGATATCCGAGTTGGCGTTCCTTCGCGTGCTACAACTCGTGCATATACAGGCCGCGATACTCGTTGAAGATCTTAAAGCTTATGAGCTGCCAACGGTGGCGTCGAAGAGCAGCTTCGAGACATCGGAATTCCGACGTAGCCTGATCGGGTCAGCAGCACAGGCTACAGGGACGTCAGCGACAGTGAGTACGATGCTGGAGAGTGCGATGGAAGAGCTTTTCGTGCCGTACACCGAGGGACAGCGCTATCTAGAGAGGGAGAGCCGAAGTCTGGGGCCACTGTATGCGAGTCTGTTGACCAAGTTCACCCGATATCACGTGCGTGGCCCTGCTCTCGAACGAATGTGGAGATTTATCCGACTGGCTCCAGGCCAGGACACAAAAAGCTGGCAAGTCGTCTATGTTTGGGTTGGTGGTGAACCAACTCAGTGCGGCGGCGGCTACCACTTCATCGACTGGCTCCGCTACGACGTCTGCCCAGGCTGCTGCAGTCCTAATGCGTATAGGAGGAATCAATGCTGCCCAGAAACCGTCACAAGATAAAGCAGGCGAAGAACCGATTCTCGAAGAAGATGGGCTTTTGGTTGTCGACACGGCGGAGACCATGCTCAAGTGGCATGCAGAAGCCGTCGGCCGCTGTGTCGAGCTCAGTCCGGCTGGTGATGTTGCAAAGCAGACTTTTGCGCTCATGCGAGTGTTGTCCGAGGCAATTGGGACCGCTTATGTGGAAGCAGCCATCGAAACGTCTGTGCTAGTCGCCTGCGCTGTGTTATGGCTCACTCAAAAGTCATTTATAGGGCCCAGGCTCGCATTGAAGCTGAACCCAAAGCTGAGCTCAATCTGCAGTACCTGATGGTGCTCAGGCAAGTGGACCTGATCTGCCATTTGTGGCAGCAGTACGTCAACACCGCGTTGCTGCCGCTCGCCAGTTCCTCGGTCACTGTCCGCCGTGAGATGGTCCTATACAACAACCAGACTCTGGGACGCCTGGAGGGCGCAGCAAACACACTTACACAGCGGTTAACGGACTGTAAGTGAATTCCCTTCCAACGGAATAACACTCTCATCTTCATAGCAATCGTCACGACACTGACCGCTCATCTGGCGAAACAAAACAAGAACGACTTCCGGCCTCGAAACGACGACCTGTCCTTCGCTCGAGTGAACACAGAACCCTGTGTCGCCTGTTGCGAAACCTTGGAGAAAGTGCGCGACGCAGCCAAGCAAAGCATGAGCGGGAAGAATCTGGAGGTGTTCCTGACTGAAGTCGGGGTCTCGTTCCATACCATGCTCCTACAGCACCTCCGAAAGTTTACCATCAACGACACCGGTGGGCTGATGCTCGCCAAGGACCTCAAGTCGTACCAGGATACGATCGTGACCTTTGGCATCCCAGCCCTTCACGAACGCTTTGAGTTTATTCGGCAGCTCGGGAACATTTTCCTCGTCAGACCGGACATTCTCAAATCATACATCGCGGAGAACTACCTCGGCAGGGTCGATCCTGCTTTACTCAGGCCGTATGTTGCGCTGCGCAGTGACTGGGGCCAGTTTGAGAAGGACTGGGCCGATGGCTCCGAAGATGCGGCGGGTCGTGGGAAAGGATTTAAAGACCGCTTTGGTCGGTTGAGCGTGATGATGAAAGAGCTCGAAGGTCTCAAGCAGGAGGGAATGAAACTAGGTGAGAATCTTCCTGCGATGCCAACCATCCCAATGGGTGGATTCGCGGGCGGGTTCTCTCTCACATCCAGATTCGGTTGAAGTCGTGTTTGTATTTCTGTTGTACATCCACCAGCAAGAGTGCTGGCTGGTCTCAGTGTTTAGGTCAAAGCAGATGGATGAAACGTGACTTGCGTTCTGGATAAGCGTCGGCTAGCTTCACGTCCGCTTCCTTTGTTGAGCCGTGCCCACCTTCGGGTCAGGACAGAAAGTCGAATCCTTGGAATGGTGGGAAACAGAGTTCCCAGATGCATCAGAGGTGCTGGCCCGAGAGCGTTTTGTCATGCTCTGAGCGCGGCAATGGTGATACATCCATCCCCTCGTCTTCAGTAATCGAAATGTTTTCTGAATGCGAATCACTATCCGTACCAATAATTGGAAACGACCTCACGACTTTTGATGTACTGATGATCGATGACCTAGTCTGGCTTCACTACACAGCCTGGGGCCGCCATCCTTCGAAAATGACCCATCTCGGAACCTCCCAGACCACGTTGCATCGGCACGCTGAATGCTATCGATGCCCCACTTCGAAATAAACTCGCCCCTTCTTTCTTCCCATCCACCTCTGCACGATGTACCACCCGAGTCCCAATCAGAATCCGTTGTATAGTCCGAACCGTGCTTCCTTCTCACCTGACGGGCGGCGAAGCCCCAATCCGCAGGGGATGGGAAACCTCAGCGGCGGGATCGAAGGACGCCGCAGTCCGATCCCGATGGCCAATCCGATAGGCATGGGGGGGATGGGTATGGACCTGGGCCGGCGCAGCCCCAATCCCATGCACCAGCCCTTGCCGGTCAGTAGCGGCATGGGTATTGGTGCAGGCATGGGCATGGGCCTCGGTATGGGCGGCGGGTCGATTCCCAACAGTCTCACCGCCAATGGCATGGGCGGTGGAAGCGGCTTCGAAGTGGAACGCGCGACTCCATCCCGTCCGTCGTCGGCGATGGGACGGCCGGTTCAAGATCAGGGCGCTGGCTACAGCACAGAGAACATCTTCCGCGAAGTGACATCACGTTTGATTGGAGCCAAGACCCGTCCTGCGAGCGTTTCTGGGCGAATCCCTCTGGATACCAGCAGCCTGGTTTTGTTCTTCCGATCCAAAGTGCGATGGCTCTGCTGAATCCGTTGATGCACTTTTTGACCATGAAGTAGACCAACGCGGCACACTCACTCGATTTCCCTATCGATCTCGAGTATGGGAATCCTCCTCCCGCACTCGACGTCCTGATCGCCTCCTGCAAGCGAACGCAAGCCGCCGGGTACGACGGAGCGGTGTACGACACCTTGCACTACCCGTCGACATTGCCGCTCACTCCATCGCTGGAGCTCGCAAACCACCCAATCATTGATGCCGTCCGTAACACACTGTTCCCCTCCCTTCCGGTTGGTCACCACCTTGTTGCACGCCGCGACCATCTCGAGGTCCTTCTCGCTGGGGGCCACAGTCCGCCGGAGCGAGGCACCTCCCGTGCGGATGGTCGCGTCGCCACGCTCAGCATCACTCTCCCTGCTCGCTTCCAGGGCGGGGCGCTTTCCATCCGGGATCTAGACGGGCACATGGAACGTCTACTCAGTGCTGCCCCCAACAATGAGCTGGAATGGACTGCGTGGTTGTCTGATGCCGAGGTCGAGGTCGAGCCTGTGGGCAAAGGATGCCGCATGGCCCTGCATTATGCTTTGTTCGCCCTCTCCTTCGCAGCACCGGCCCCGGGACTGTTTGTTCCCAGCCAACCGTTCATGGATCTCCTGCCGCCGGTGCTGCAGATGGCTCGAGGGCGGAA